CAGTTGAAAAACAATTCCTCCTGAGAGAAAGCAAAGCGGAACCATTTCTGATTCGTTGCCGTAGAAATAATATATAGGTCCAGGGGTGGAATTCAAAAATCCCAGCAACCACTCCGCTGCCCAGTTGCTGTGTGGGCGTGGCCATGGTGGGCGTGGCCTACCAGAACTTCCAGGACAGCAGTTTTTCACCTTCCCCAGGGTCTGGAGGCTAGGTATGAAAAAGGCCAATAAATTATTGCTGCTTTCTTTCCACACACATGCACATCCATTTACTTGACTTCTCTTGAAGTGCTCCAGATTTTCGAACATATTGAACTCCGACATTTCTGGAGAACAACAACTGCAGTTATGAATATACACTGCTCAAAAAAATAAAGGGAACACTTAAACAACACAATGTAACTCCAAGTCAATCACACTTCTGTGAAATCAAACTGTCCACTTAGGTAGCAACACTGATTGACAATCAATTTCACATGCTGTTGTGCAAATGGAATAGACAACAGGTGGAAAGCATAGGCAGTTAGCATGACTTCCCCAATAAAGGAGTGGTTCTGCAGGTGGTGACCACAGACCACTTCTCAGTTCCTATGCTTTCTGCCTGATGGTTTGGTCACTTTTGAATGCTGGCGGTGCTTTCACTCTAGTGGTAGCATGAGACGGAGTCTACAACCCACACAAGTGGCTCAGGTAGTGCAGCTCATCCAGGATGGCATATCTATTTATTTATTTATTTATTTATTTATTTATTTATTTATTTATTTATTTGATTTGCCAATTGTTTACAAGATAATAAGTATAAGTGTATACATAGTTGTGAATACATGAAATGGGTACATATAAGAAAAATAAAAGAATAAGAGAAACAATAGGACAGGGACGGTAGGCACGTTGGTGCGCTTATGCACCCCCCCTATCAATGCGAGCTGTGGCAAGAAGGTTTGTTGTGTCTGTCAGCGTAGTGTCCAGAGCATCGAGGCACTGCTAGGAGACAGGCCAGTACATCAGGAGATGTGGAGGAGGCCGTAGGAGGGCAACAACCCAGCATCAGGACCGCTACCTCCACCTTTGTGCAAGGAGGGACAGGAGGAGCACTGCCAGAGCCCTGCAAAATGACCTCCAGTGGGCCACAAATGTGCATGTGGCTGCTCAAATGGTCAGAAACAGACTCCATGAGGGTGGTATGAGGGCCTGACATCCACAGGTGGGGGTTGTGCCCAACACTGTGCAAATATTTGGCATTTGCCAGAGAACACCAAGATTGGCAAATTCACCACTGGTGCCCTTTGCTCTTCAAAGATGAAAGCAGGTTCACACTGAACACGTGACAGACGTGACAGGGTCTGGAGACGCTGTGGAGAACGTTCTGCTGCCTGCAACATCCTCCAGCATGACCGATTTGGCAGTGGGTCAGTAATGGTGTGGGGTGGCATTTCTTTAGGGGGGCACACAGCCCTCCATGTGCTCGCCAGAGGTAGCCTGACTGTCATTAGGTACTGAGATGAGATCCTCAGACCCCTTGTGAGACCATATACTGGTGCGGTTGGTCTTGGGCTCCTCCTAATGCACGACAATGCTAGACCTCATGTGCCTGGAGTGTGTCAGCAGTTCCTGCAAGATGAAGGCATTGATGTATGGACTGGCCCACCTGTTCCCCAGACCTGAATCCAATTGAGCAAATCTGGGACATCATGTCTCGCTCCATCCACCAACGCCACGTTGCACCAAAGACTGTCCAGGAGTTGGGGGATGCTTTAGTCCAGGTGTGGGAGGAAATCCCTCAGGAGACCATCCGCCACCTCTTCAGGAGCATGCCCAGGTGTTGTCTTTTTCCATTTGCATGCGTTCTGATAGCCATATATTGACCAAGCCTACTACAATCCTGTCTCTGATGAGCTCATCATGTAGTGCTCCATAGTTACAGTGCTCTGCTAATGCATACAGCGCTGTGACAAATGCATCAACTGTCTCATTTGCTTCTTGTTTGCGCATATAAAATCTTGCACACTCAAACACAAAGCAGGCAGGCACATTGAGTTGCTCACACAATCACAAATTCATTCAGATATCTATCTATCTGCCATCGGCTAGCTCAGTCTGTCACATAAAATTTGCTAGCAAGCAAACTCACAAAATTAACTCACAACACACTACATATGTAAATATTAAAAATTTTTATTAAAAAAGATCAACTTTTACCCAAAATCAGGCAAAGCAGGCAGGCAGATTGAGTTGCTCACAGAATCATTCAGTGATCTATCTATCTGCCATCAGCTAGCTCAGTCTGTCTCATAAAATTTGCTTGTCTTGAGACTGCACTGAATAATAGAAACTTCAGTCCTAAGGGAGGTTCGGCTGTGCTTAAAAGCAAAGCCAAAGATTTAAAGACTAGCTAGAAAGCAAGAAATCCAACCATTTCCTGCTTCCTAGATAATCTAAATCTCCTGACACAGCAGAACAGATGATGGTCGGAAAAAGGAAAAATAGCAATTTAACAGGCAAGTTTGCCAGGTAAGGAGTGAGTGGGTGGGGAGGGTTCCCGCGGGCCATGTGGGTGGTGCAACCTTGTGTTTCTGCGCAGCCTGGATTAATTGCTTTGGGGGGGTGCTCTGGGGGTGAGATTTCTCTGTGGCCCACCAAAATTTTATTGCAGCCCACCCTTGGACTCTGGCCCACCGGTTGGCGACCGCTGTTCTAGATGACAGGAAATCGATTACCTTTCTAATGAGAAACTTCTGGATCTTTGTGTCTCTTATGCAGTATCTGGGCAGTCCAATCGAAACGATGTTGCTAAAGCGCTGGATTTCGTACACCACAGCATTTGTGTATGGAAGTTTCTTGCGATCCTCATAACAGATTGACTGGCCCGGTGTTATGAGTATATCTATCTCCTGTTGAACCTTGGCTGTGGAGAAACAAAGATTTTGCACATTAACGTTCTTTTTTTTCCGTTTTAAAATATTTTATTTACAAGAAAAAAATTAAAAACAAACACAAACATACAATTATATAAAAGTAAAATAAAAAAAATGTATAGTCGGAACAATAAACATATTTCTTTCCATTGCATTTGATAGTAGATTGGATATTTCATAATAAACAATAGTAAATAATAATTGGCAAGTATTCCTTGTCACTTATAGATTACATATTAATTAATAAATAACACCTGTTACTCTATTATTCCTATTGGATTATAACTGTATCATTTAATTGATGAAATCTTCATAATGTTTATATAATAGAAGCTTGAGATTGCTATTATTATACAGTCAATATATACAACTATATACAATATATTTGTTAAATTCATTTATACTATATGCTCTTTTTCTTACGTTCTACCCAGCTGTACCATTTCTCCCAAGTCAGATAATATTCTGATTCTTCCTTCCCATTTAATTTAAGCGTGAGCCTCTCCATTTCGGAACATTCATAGCTTTTTTGAATAATAATGTGCATCGGTGGTACCCTAGGCCTTTTCCAATATTGCGCTAAAGAAATTCGCGCCACTGTTAATAGGTGGATGGTGCTGAAGGCCTCAGCTGGTGTGGGGAAAGCTGCGCACACACGTTATGTGAGCGTGCACACACGTGCGATCACCAAACCTGTGATAAACAGGTAGTAAATAAACCGGTAGTGGAACAGGTACAATCCCACTGCTGTTTAACAACCTTGGTTATTAACAGCTGCAGTGATTCACTGAACAACTGTGGCAAGAAAAGTTGTAAAATGAGGTGAGTTAACACATTTCTCACTTAACAACAGAAATGTTGGGCTCAATTGTGGTCATATATCGAAGGTTACCTGTACCTGTCAGGGCTCCAACAAATCCACCTCCATTCAAATCATAAGTCTCTAGCCACATCTCTCATAGTAAAAAAAAAAAAAAAGATTTATTAGGAGTGGCCATGTTGGCATTAGCTGGGTGCAGCCGACACTAAAATACATCATTCATTTCCCCCTTGACCAGGGTCTTCCCCCTACACCCTGGATGTGTATTCTCCAATGGACGCATCCATAGCCAAGAGTCATCAATCATGCTCTCCAGTAATATTCTTTTGTGCCGACAACTTTGAGCTGCCAAAGCGATTATCTAAGGCATTTAAGGAATGCGCTGCTTTCCCTCCACTCCCTTTTTCTGCCAGCTAAAAAGATCAAAGGAGTATTATTATTATTTTTTAGTTGACAGTACCATCCTTTCTGCATCATCTTTCCTGTCCATTCAAAGATTGCCAGTTCTTTGCTATTTCTTTATTTATTTGTATCTCAATTCTATTTTTTTTAATAAATAAAAAGGCGGCAAACATACCTACTACAATACAAGTAGTCCTTGACTTACATTTGTTTACAACCCGTTTGAAATTACGGCAGTGCTGAAAAAGTGACTTATGATCAGCCTTTGCACTTATGACCGTTGCTGCATCTCTTGAGGTCACATGGTCAAAATTGGGGCGTTTCTTGGCAACCAGCATTGATTTACCATTGGTGCAGCTTCCTGGGGTCTCATGTGATTTGCCATCTTCCCAGATGGCTTCCGACAGGCAAAGTCAGGAAGCCGATGTGCTTAACCACTGTGTGATTCACTTAATCACCTAGGATTCACTTAATGACCATGGCAAAAAAAAAAGTCTTGAAATCAACTCACCTAAAAGCCACCACGGAGAGAAGAGTTGAAGTCCCATTTGTGTTCACATGTCAAGGACTACAATTCATTCAACTGGCTTAAACTGGTGACTGAATTAACTATTTTTTAATTCCACCTTTTTTTCATGTACACCCCAAACTGTGAACATACCCTAATACTTCTTCCTCCTCTTTGGAGGTTTTTAAGAACTGAAGGTTTTAAGAAGAGACTAGACAGCCACTTATCTGAAATTGTATAGGTTCTCCTGCTTGAGCAGGGGGCTGGACTAGAGGACCTCCAAAGTCCCTTCCAGCGTTGGTTTGATGCGAGGCAAAGACACAGGCAAAAGCGTGAGATGCAACGCAGAAAGAAAGGACAAATCAGAGACTGAGATGAGAGACTGACACGCCCCACAGGGAATAAAAGTGGGTGTGTTAGCTCTGGGTTTTTGTTCGGGACAACGTGTTAATTTAGTGTGAGTTTTTCTGTGGAGCTTCGGTGCATTCTGTTTCCTGAAAGCCTGTGTGAGTTATGTTACTCTTATCTGGTCGGACTTGGCAGGCAGCGTGTGTGAGACTGCCTACTTCAAAGAATTAACTCTTTAACTACTGAATCTTCTTGCCTGCCTGTATTTTGTCAGAGTTGTGGACTTTCCATCCTCATTGGAAAACTGAGACATAACATATAAGTATATAAGTCTAAGTGCTATCGCTAGTGCTAGTGCTATTACCATGCCAGTGGCCTGAACAGACAGAGTCAAACCTTGTTTGGGCCATCTGATACTTTGAGTGAGAAATAACTTCTCGACATTTGGATAATGTTGACTACAGGTAGCTCTTGACTTATGACCATTTGTTCAGTGACTGTTGGATATTACGATGGTGCTGAAGAAAGCAACTCATGATCCCTGCCTGAAGTTACACTTGCGGTGGTGCTCCTGGGATCACCTGATCAAAACTTGGGTGCGCAGCAATCCACCTGCCCTTATGACTGACTTTAAGACCAACTCCTCCACTCCTGAGCCATCCTATGCTCCACTTAATAACCCAGATGGTCATTTAACAACCGCAATGAGGAGAGGAGGGATTGGAGTCCTTAAACGAGGAGATCACATGGGCACGTCACATTAACAAATGTCATGACTCGAGACCATAAGGACGAGCCTGCATTATGATTGTAAGTTGAGGACTACCTATCACTAAATAATTCTTCCAATAATAATTGTCAGTTACAGATGAAGATGCTACAAGCAGCTTCAGGCCTCAAACTTAGATGGGTTATAAGGGTCCCTTCTATCTCATCTATCCTATGATCAGGAGTGGAATTCAAAAATCCAGCAACCGGTTCACTATCTGGTTGCTGGGTGGGCATGGCCATTGTGGGCGTGGCCTACTAGAACTTCCGGGAGGGCCGTTTTTCACCTTCCCCAGAGTCTGGAGACTTCCCTCGGGTCTCTGGGAGTGGGAAAACAGGCTCCCACAGGAAGCCAGTAACAAGCCCATTTCCAGACTTCTGGAACTTTCCAGGAGGACCATTTTTCGCCCTCCCAGAGCCTCCGCGCAGCTCCTGCATTTACCTGCATCCAAAACTGGCCATGTGGAGACTCCTGGGAGGGAAGGGGCAGGGTGGGTGGGGCCAGCCGGTTGGTTCAACTACCGGTTTGGCGAACTAGATGTAAATTTAACATCCGGTTCACCCGAACCAGTCCGAACCAGTAGAATGCCTCTGATGCTTCTCTCACCTTGAATGTCAGGATAAAGCACCATATATAACAATCCCCAGTAGAGAGTGGTGCCTCCTGTCTCTGTTCCCCCCAGGAAGAGATCAAAGATGCTCTGAACCATGTTCTTTTCATCATAGGGTGACTTGGGTTGGTTTTTCGTCTGCAGAACAAAAATGGAGAAATGAACACCTGAGAAATCTTGAAGGTCATTTCTTCTCCAAGTCCAATATGTGTTAGAATCTATTTTGTATTGCAACAATTACAGAATCATTCAGCTAAGAGATGGCAGTGTTTAGTTTGCATCTATGGTTGTAATCTATGGTTCTATTTGTCCTGAGGAGAGTTTCCTGTTTCCTGTTACAGTTTAAAACAGTTGAGCAGTAAAGAACATGGTGACAGTACTCTTTGTTTGCTCTGGGTGTCTTATTTTTTTCCCATGTACGGAAGGCCCACTTCTTCTTCTTGCTTGCTGTGGGACAGGAGGTTGCGCAGTGTACCAGTACTGCCACCATCGTGAGGCAGGGGTGGAGCCACCCATTTTGAAATCGCCAAGGTTGGGAAGACTTTATGTTATAAGCTGCCTAAAACAGTCACACAAAAGAGTTTCCACTTACTTTCTCTATTTCAGCCAGGTAAAAATAAATGAAGTCTTGGTCTTTTTCTTGATGCTCTGCTTCTTGGTGCTTCTTGATCTCCTCTCTTATGAATGACCGAACAAAGTCACATGAGGAAAATATCTTCTGATGAGGTCCTGGAACATGCTGCATAATCCAGGGGAAAATATTGTACAGCTGGTGGAAGAGAAGTAACATCACCTAAGTTAGGAAGCCACATTGATAAAATAAAAAATAAGGATTAAACAGAGGCAAAAGGAACTGAGAGCCATGGTGGCGTAGTGGTTAAAATGCAGTACTGCAGGCTACTTCTGCTGACTGCCAGCTGCCTGCCAGCTGCCTGCAATTTGGCAATTGAAATCTCACCAGGCTCAAGGTTGACTCAGCCTTCCATCTTTCTGAGTTGGGTAAAATGAGGACCTCGATTGGACTTCCGGTTTGAGTTTCTTTGGCAACAGACCGAAGCCTCATCTCTGCAAGGCTTCGATCCGTGCTCACCGCTGGAGCACCCTGAGCCAGCTGGTTTTGGGGCTAAGCCACCCTGTAGAGGTGGTGAAGAAGGGGGAGACTGCCTGCAGGGTTGAGGAGAGCTGCATCTCTCCTCCCCAGCTGGCCATTACTCCCTTTCCCAAAGGCGGTTGTAGCAGTGGTCAGAAATGGCCACCACAAAGAAGAACTCGACTGGAAAAGAATGTGCAAGAGGAAGATAAGAAGAGAAAGTTTTGGTTGACCGGGTCAAACAGCAAAAGCAACAAATAAGGTACCCTGGAATTGAAACTATTAAAAAAAAACCAATAACATTGTTCCCTAAGAAGATTTTTAAGCTGCAAAGGAGAGAGAAATGGGAAAAGGTTTGGGTTTTTTTTTCTCCTTTTCCTATACTGACAGCTAAGAGACTTAAGCAAGAAATTGGAAAAAAATCCACTTTGACATCAATAGGCATTTAATGCTGAAAATAAAAAGTCAAAGGGATAATAAAGATTTCTGGATAATCCAAAGCTTTTGAAAACAGGAAAGGAGAGAAAAAGAATAAAAGGGCAGGATCTGGAAGGGAGGAGACTGCCTGGAATTAAAAAGAACTTACAGCAAAATCTCAACAAGACTTCCAAAAGATACATTTTAACTGAAATATCACAACAAAAACCCCAGGAAGAGAAAGTGCAAAAAGAAATAAGAAAATATAACTCGGGACTATTTGGATTACTTGATGATTTCTGGATTTTGGTTTATTGTATTTGAATGACTAAAATCAATCGGGTGGTTGTTTAAACTGTTTAAAATGGCTCCACTTTTAAAAGAACTGAAAATGGAACTTAAAAAGTACAAAGAAAATGCCATCTATAAAACATCTTATACAAATTTTCTTTATATGCTGTTGACATTGTCATTTTATAATTTTGAGACCACAACTTTTGCCATTTCTCTAAATCAATCCCATATCCAAAATTCTTCCCCCAAGCAATCATTGTTTCTTTAACTTGTTCTTCCTCCAATTTAATTTCCAACAAATAATTATATAATTTTTTGATCACTTTTTCATCAGTACCTGTCAAAATCCTATCTAAATCAGTCAATTTGTCATAAAATCCTTCCATTTTAGAATCTTTAAGATACCTTGAATGTATTTGCGCATATGAAAACCAATTCATCTTTATAACTTGTTCTTCTAAATTTTGCATCGTTTTAAGTTCACCCTTTTCATCTAGTAATTCCCCATATCTAACTCTTTGTTCCTTCTTATAGGTTATAGGATAAGAAAAAGCTTCAATAGTTGATAACCAAACTGGGATTTTCAAATAACATTGTTTCTTAATTTTCTCCCAATTCAACCATAACGATTCCTGTATATAATGCCTTCTAAAATAACCCCGTGATTTAGTTCCCTTATACCATAGAAAAGCATGCCAACCCAATAATAAATCATGTCCTTCTAATGCCAACAATCTAGTCTTTCTTAACGTTATCCATTCTTTAGCCCACATTAAATTTGCAGCTTGATAATACAACTCCCAATTAGGAAGGCCAAAACCTCCTCTAATTCTAGCATCCTGTAAGAATTTTAATTTTATTCTCGCTTTCTTACCTTGCCATATATACTTCAACACAATTTTATTTAATTCTTCAAAGTAGTCCTTACCTAACCTAATTGGTATTGTTTGAAACAAATATAAAATTCTAGGTAAAATATTCATCTTAATTGTTGAAATTCTACCTATCAATGACAATTGTAAGTTTTCCCATTTTTTCAGATCAGATGCTATCTGCTGTTTAAGTTTAATAGTTATTCTCTTTCAGTGTAGTACATCTTGACGTCAAATATATCCCCAAATATTTAACTTTATTCATAACTTGAATTTTCAATAGGTCTGTCAGCTCTTCTCTTTGTCTTAATAACATGTTCTTTGTCAAAATCTTTGTTTTGTCTTTATTTATTTTCAAGCCAGCCATCTCACCATACATCTCTATCTTTTCCAATAGTTTTAAAGCTGTCTCTAGAGGATCTTCCAAAATAAAGATCAAGTCGTCTGCAAAGGCTTGCAATTTGAATTCCTCTTTTTTAACTTTCATTCCTTTTATATTTGTATCCTCTCTAATATTTCTATTTAACACTTCCAAAGTCAATACAAATAACAAAGGAGATAATGGACATCCTTGTCTTGTACCTTTTTTAATATTAATAAAGTCTGTGAGTTCTCCAGAAGATGAGAGGGAAGAAAGAAAGGAAAAGAAGTTATAAAGGACAGAAACAAAATATAGAGAAACAGGGCCTATTTAGAGATAATGGGTGAAAATTTAATGGAAAAGGGGATTCTGCAAAGGTACATAAGATAGTATTGTTATATTAGAAATAGAAATAACTTTAGAAAATATGAAACAATGTATGATTAAAATGTTTGATAAAATAGCTATCATAATTCAGTGGAATGCTTGTCAATAAATAACTGTAACAAAACATATATGAAGAGAAATAAGGGAAAATTAATTATGGAGATTATATGTGTTTTTAAGGAAGTATGATATTTAATTGAAAAGAAGTGTTAAAAATGTTAAGCTTTTAATGATTATTAATGATAGAACTGAATTGGAATGGAATGAGGGTTTATAATTACATATATTTATAATCTTTTTTTTAAGAATATAGGGTGTATTATAAGAATGTACCAGCAGAATTCGATTGGAAGTTATGTATTATGTATTATATTGAAGGTCATAACCTTAAGGTATATATTGAAGTTTAAATAAGAGTTGAATGGATGTAATTAAAAGATATAAAGGTGTCATTCTCCAATTAGTAACTACAGGAGAAAATTTGTTTAATGAGAAAAGATAATATGAAATTGAAACAGAACAGACAAAAGTATAAATATAATAATTTGAATTGAGATGAGATAATCAAAATAAAATTTGAGAAAATTAAAAGAGGGGAAAAACTATATAGAAAATGTAGACATGGAATAAAACACAAAAAGGAGCATGAAATTGAGCTTTGTGTCTGTATAAAGAAGTTCAACCCGGGACCATGCTATTTTCAAAAAAGATGTTTTACTTGTATTTTGTATTTGTGAAAACCCAAATAAAACTTTATTAAAAAAAATGAGGACCTAGATTGTTGGGGGCAATAGGCTGACTCTGTAAACCACTTAGAGAGGACTGTAAAGCACTGTGAAGCAGTATACAAATCTAAGTGCTATTGCTATTTGAGAGCAAAATCGTTGAGAACAATCTTTGAGAATATTCTTGGCAGAAATTATCGAGACTTTGATGTGACTCAGAACATTCTATCCTACTTCCTTTAACTAAAGAATGAATTAAATTCTTGTTGTTTTGAACACCATTGGAGGAAAAGGCATAAGAAAAAAAGTGTCAGTGAATAGTTATTTCCTTATTTTTCTTTCTTTATTTTTTCTTATTTTTATTGCTCTTATCTTTTGGTTTTACTGTTGTATTTGGAAATATCTCAGCATTGTATTCTCTTTTTCAGGGTTTCTGAGAATGTCCAGGCAATTTTTTCCTTTTATTTTAGTAGAACACAATACTGAGGCAATATTCCAGGTCCCTCGTTAAATCCATCCATCCATCCATCCATCAATCAATCAGAATAGAGCTGGAAGGGACCTTGAAGGTCCTCTAGTCCAAACCCTTACTCAAGTAGGAGACCCTATACCGTTTCAGGCGTGTGACTGTCCAGTCTCTTCTTAAAAACTGATGGAGCATCCCACAACCTCTTGAGGCAAGCTGTTCTACTGGTTAATTGTTCTAACTGTCAAGAAATTTCTCCTTAATTCCAGGTTGCTTTTCTCCTTGGTTAGTTTTCATCCATCCAAATAAAACTACATGCAAAAATCATGAAGTCTAAAGTTTCAAAATTGATCAGATGTGGTATTCAGCAGGTTCTGACCAGTTCTGGAGAGATGATAGCAGACATTTTGAGTAGTTCAGAGAATCGGTAGAAGAAATTTTGAGTAGTTTAGAATACCACCTCTGACTGGCCCCCACCCCCATCTATTCTCTGCCTCCTTCCCCCTGGAGTGGGGTGATAATGGAGATTTTACAGTATCCTTCCCTTGCCATGCCCACCAAGCCACGCCCACAGAACCGGTAGTAAATTGTTTTGAATCCTACCCCTGAAATTGATGTCACTGTCCCTTAGATTAAAGTCCAAGATAATCATTTCCCCTTAGAGGGGAACATCAGACAGTATCATTAGCAGGGATTTTTCATCTTAAAAATGTAGCTGTCCTTGTCCCCAAAAGGCAACAGGATTTTCCTTGAAGACGTTTTGCTTCTCATCCAAGAAGCTTCTTCAGCTCTCACTGGATAGTGGGGGGATGGAAGGATTAGTATTCCTTGCAGACAGCTGGTCATTTGCATCCTTTTGAGGGTCATTGAAGCACTTGGAGGTTTATCTGTGTCCTCAGCATGAGAAGCAATATGTGTTCAAAGAAAAAGCAAGAAAGTCCAGTTGCCTCCTGAAAAAGGTCCTTTGGAACAACCATGACCTGGATGACTGAGAATCTCTGCAGATGATTGGTTACACAATTTTATAAACAACACGAAAAGTTTTACGACCAACACAAGTGACAACAATGATGGGCTGGCTCCATTATGGTCGTAATTCAAGGACGATCTGTACGGGAAACTCAACCAATCTCACTCGGCAAGGATAGGATGAGAAATATGGCTACCACCACAATTTAACCCCTTTCACATCTTTGTGACCCACAAAACAGGGGGCTGGGTTTTTCATTGCACCGTCATGGCTGCCATTTTGATTTTTGGGGGGACTCCTCTCGCTGCAGATAGGCCTGCTTCCCGGTTAGCCTTTAGTACCCATTGCAGGTTTTTTTTTTGACCCACAACCTCTGAGCCTGTTCAATGACCGTAATATTTTGATTCTCCTGAGAAAAAGGAAAGAAGGGATCAGCTCACGTTACTCGCGACATTGTCAGAGGCATTGAAAATCTTCTCAATGACTTCCAGCAGGTGATGAAAAGTCTCGTCCTCTGTGGAGAAACGATGGCCAAAGACGAGCACACAAATCATGTTGGAAACCGCGAGGTTCAGGGCGAAAGAAGGATTCATGGGTTTTCCTGCAAAGAGAAAGAGGGACTCGGTGACTGGCATGCCTCTTGCAAAGATTGCATAGGGCCTGTGTGGAGAAAGACTAAGGATGACACAATAGCATCTTCTTGTCCTTGAGGGGTTGCCACAAAGAAGAGGCGGTCAACCCTGAAGGCAGGATAAGAAGCAATGGATGGAAATCAGGGGTGGGATTCAAATAATTTAATAACCTGTTCTCTGCCCTAATGACCAGCTGGATAGGCAAGTACCAATAATTAGATTAAAAAGACCTGCAACCTGGAGTTACAAATCAGGCAGGGTGCAAGAGCATCTTGAAAAATTAAAATAGTTAAAATGCAATGATAACTATCAGCAGCCAACTCTTGCTCATAAAGTGAAACCCTTTAGCAGAGAGGTCATTTAAGCTTATCAGAAAGGGCACACCCAGGAGAAGCAATCCTTAGATCCAGTTGCACCACTTAAAGATACCAGCTGGTCTCACTCATCTCACAAGATATCCTAAGGAAATCATCTAGATTTAAGGAAAGGTCACATGCCCCCCTGAAAGGCAGTAAAAAAAAATCAGTGCCAAGCATCCTGCCTCTTGGAAGTACACCCCAAAAGGACAATACCAGAAACCACTAAAGCAGTGAAGGAAGACCCCCTCCCCAGATAGAAAAAGAAACCATGAGGCAGGAAAAAATTCAAACACAATACAAATAATTAAATCACATTAGCTGTTTGTTGAGGTATTCCCCGTTAGGAGAATGAGTGCTCTCAGAGAAGCGTAGTGAGAGTGATGTTGAATAACACACAACCAGCATACAGTAAAATGTAGGTTTTACTTACAGTAAACGGTTAATCAAAGTCCAACAAACAGTCCAAGTCATACATGGTTAAAGCAGTCAGTTTGCAGTCCAGTGATAATCCAAATAACAAAGTCCAGTATCATAAACAGTTCAGTAAACAGACTCACAGCAATCCAAGAAGAATGACGATCAGCAACAGTCAATAGGGAAAAATGCAAACCAACCAACATCGAACATCAGAACATCTAGCAACATCTAGCAATTAGGAAACCGTGTTTCTGGCATTACCCAGGTCATTACAACACAGGAGGCTGATAGACACATAGCCAATACCTAAGCCACACATGTTCTTAAGAAAAAGCCAGCCAATCTGCAAACATCAACTCCATCAACCAGTCAAGAAATAACAACACAGCCAACCTCCCTACCAGTATATATAGGGAGACGGCAGCTCTGATCACGCTTTGCTTGCACAAGCACGAAGCCAAAAGCACCAGCCTGAAGATGGCGAATGGGACCTCATTGAAACATTGCCAAGATACTCTCAATCTTACACGGGAAAAGACCCGAACACACCAAGACCTGCATACCTGTACCTGTGAAAATCTACGAATATATATATATATATATATATATATATATATATATATATATGTATATGTATATGTATATGTATAT